GTTCTCAACCTTTTGACTAACGCGTACCATCTAAACAAAAATCGAAAACCTATAGTACCACCACTACAAAATACTGCTACCACCACCACTCTTGAGTAAAGCTCAGATCGCATAAATTTACGTGTGTTTGAGAAAAAACTTAATCAAGATGTTGCGATTTTAATTTTTTAATTTAATAGTTAAAAATATCTTGCTTCTTTGCTTACCACCTACTTGACTACCCCTGCTTTATGGACTTTTGAAGTGATTTACTTGTGTTCAGCGTTCGTTTGTCTCAGTAGTGGTATCACTAATTTAGTCTCAAGGCGCAAATGGACTGCTTCTTCTGTTACTATGAATGTTATCTTACCAATTTTTTAATGCTGTACAGAGAAAGGCCCTTTGTTCCTTAAATTTTGGAGCGTTCTGTTTCTCTGTTTCTCAAAACTTACTCCCTAAAATAGCTTAAATGAATAAATTGCTTGGCAGAACATACACTACTTGCACCTTTCTTGTGCTTTCCTTTTAGCTTTAATCTGAATAGAGGTATATCTATTAAGTCTGAATATTTGATGTCAGTATTGTTTACGAAACTGACAGCTGGAGATTGGTTTTAAGTTTATAACTTCTAAAGGTGTTTAATTAACGAAAACTACTTTGTTGGTATCAGAACTAACGCCTGATCTTTAAGAAGTCGACTCTTAAGGTTTTCTGAGTTATCGCCTTAGTAATGTTTACTGAGTTATCGCCTTAGTAATGTTTACTGAGAAACATAAGATAAAATCCTTACTTAAAGACTAAGACATAACTTTATTATCTATTATTAATGGTAAAATAATTAAAATTTGTATCAAAATAAATATTGCGACTTCTCGGCGACTAACAAATACAGCAACTGGCTGCTAAGCTACTGTTATTCACTGGATTACAATCCTAAAAATGATTATTCGGAGTTCAACAATGTTAGGTCTGATGGAAAGATCGACTAACTTTCGAACACTTACTGAACACGTGCTAAGTCGGCCGTTCTAGTAGGTCTGAAGGAGCTTCTTACAGCAAGTAGTAATGCAACATTCAGAGTTCTACTGATAAGGAAGCTCTTCCAATTTTGAACTCTCATTTTCTTTCAAAAAATACATATGAACCTATTTGTCACGAAATGCATAATAGTAAAACAATTAGCTACTGATATTTTATAGAAGAAGTGTATATACATTGTTATACAAATACATTATTAAATAAGTAATTTTTTATCTCCCATGACGGACTTACTTGATGAATTTGATCACCAACAGCGATTATTCTTGCAAAAGTTTAAAATTTCAGGGAATTTCCAAAACAGCGCTGCATTGCCCAATAAAGTTAGACCTTATACATTTTCAATTTCTCTGTCATTGATTGAAAAGCCCTTTACGAAGGCATCCCTTCCTTAGGAAGATAGCCCCTGAGTGCTTTGCCATAATTAAATAAACCAATTAATCTGTCTCATTGATTTAGCAGTAGCGTTATTTACTTGTAAATGAGAAAAAGCATTTGTAGTTAATTTGTATATTGCTTTATTTCCAATAATTTCAATTGTTTTTATCAAGAACACTTCCTTAATTTTTCAGTTACTGCACTTACATCAACTTTAAAGCCAATCTGGGAAAAAGAATATAATGGGTTCCCCGCTATCTGAAAGAGAGCTATTGCATTAACGTTGACAGCTAACTGCCTGTACATGAAATAAAATAAAATAACATTTTTAGTACTTTAGGCAAACTTCTTGTAGAGATTTTCCCAGGTTTAAGAACTCTTTTTTTGTTCGATAGGCTTGGACCAAGGAAATATTTGCACCAAAAAACACAGTTAGCTCTTTGAGTGCAAAATTATTCTCAGCGGGATAGAAAGTTTTTTTTTTTAATAAACGCTCCTACTTAATTAAAAATTATCAAGAAGTAGCCATCAATAAAAATAATATTTTTTTTTAATTTGCGAATTATTTTCTTGTGTACAAATTCGTATAAAATCCAACTTTAATATTTCCTACAATAGTGTTATTTCGAATCCATACATAGAAAACACTTAGTTTTAAATATTCTCTTTGAATGACTTACATTGATTTAATCCAAATATTTTTCTAGTTATAAGCTAAATTTATTTATTTTTGTTTGTTTGTTTGTTTGTTTCAGTGAATGAATTTTATACCCGAAGGAGCTGTTTCACGTAAATATATGGCAGAATACTTCCGTTGCTAATTCATTTTAAAACTTAATTCGTCAGTAATGTGAGCCCATCAGCGGCCGCGCAGTAATGACGCTGAACACTGGTAGTTCGGTCTGAGGTTCGAATCCCGCGAACGGGCTGTCTGCATGGGCGTTTTCGTGGTTTTCCCACGTGTAACGTGTATACGAGCCAATTTCCCTTAGAAAGTCCTCCACGAAGGCATCCCTTCCTTTAGACAGATAGCCCTCGTGTGCTTTGCCATAATTAAATAATCCAATCCAATCCGTCAGTAATGTGATGTACGTTTTGTTGAACCGTAGGAGACAAATTTTCAGTTTCTCAGTCAATGTATTACTTTCGAACATAATAAACAGGAGTTGAACAACACTTTGTTCCCAATGCACCTTTTCTAGTTGTTAACATTAAAAAGCTTTGCCGTAGATCATTAACTTAATTCCTTAAAATTCCTGTGGATTATCAATTATCCATTAAAATTTCTTTTTCCATAACAGAAATACAGGAACAAATTTAATTAACGTTGCCCATATTTGAGAAATATATGGCACAAAATAATCATGAATAATATGCCGCGAATTTTTTGGTAATCACAATGTTATTTTTAATAGATTCCCCCTCCCCCATAACCCGCTTTTGATGAATATGTACCATAAAAAGTAGACTTTACTAATTCAAATAAATAATGCAATAAAATGTACCAGAATTATTCATAATGTTTGATTGCTTTTACATTTCTTTAATCTGTAGACATTAATTCGATTTTTGGGAGCAGAAGGAACGGGAAACGAGAAAAGTCACTTGCGCCCTTGCCAGCAATTGAAGTATTCTTCTTTCAGTTGCTGGTTGTGCATGTGCACTACAAGACCAGACACGACAAGGATGTCATAACTCCTTATATTCTCTTGTTTTTTAGAAGATGACTGGGGAGAGACACAGACTCAGTAAGTCAAATCTAGGTGTTGACTATTTATCCACCTCTTCTCAGTTCGTACGAATTGTAGAGATCTCTAGGATTTTGGTGTGGAAAACGTAAGAAATGGACAGCTCCCTTGTCAGAAATCAAACCACGAATCTACCAGCTGTTAGCTGGATGTGCTCCCCATTACACCACAAAAATGGGCATGGAAAGGTATAACATAATTCCGTATGAATTAACTAATAGATTTCGTAACTAATTGTGAAGTAATTCATTGAAAGCGAAATGCACTGCATAAAAGCTATTCCTGGCCTTTGAAATGGCTTTAAACAGAAGAATTTTAAATCGATTGTCGAGGAAAATAAACAAAAAAATCTTTGATACAAATTATTCTTAAATGTTGTTGCTGCAGTAAAATCTTTTTTGTCATCCTATTATGATATTCAGATTGAGTTTTCAAGTAAATATTCCATTTAAATTATCCGCTTTTGTTTCTAGTTTGAGCCTCACTAGCGGGCCGAATGTTAAAAACTACTGAATACTGATCGCCGCCTGAGATAGACTTTGTTATAAAAGTCTTACAGTGTTAATAGTCATCCTGGGAGAAGGAATATTTCTTCCGTATAAAAATATAAATTTAAATATTACATGGGCATAGATATGTTAATTACAAACATTGTCTTGTACAAGTTACATGTGATAGTTACATAAAATCACTACAGTTATGTGCACATTTAAACATTATCTGAATTCATATTTTCAATACTTTTACTGAGATAATCAAAGTAAACTTGTAATTCATTTACACATTGACTGGATTTTCAATGTCATTTTAAACTGCTTTACAATATTATTTTTATCAAGTACATGCAAATTAGATAGTAATATGCTTACATTACAATAGTTTTGCTCTTACAGTTCTGTTACTATTCTACGGGGTGAGCTATTTTTCTAGTGTTCATTACCACTGAATACTGGAGGTCAAACTTATGTTTGATGCCAGGCGAATGCGCTAGCTGCATGGTAGGTTTTTGTGGTTTCTTTATGTGTAACGTGAATAGGAGCCGATTTCCCTTAAAATGTCCTTCCCGATGACATCTCTTCCCTTAAGCAAGTAGCCCTTAAATGGTTTGCTATTTTCGAAAGTCTTATCTGTTTCTGGTCTACGTGAAAGTTTGCGATCAGTCCACGACACTCGCTTTTCTTATTTCACTCTATCTTCAAAACTGCGATTATAATTTTTAAAGAAAGTCTTAACACTTTTTCATATTTTTAATAATGTTGTTCCTAATTTTCGGAAACTGATTATTGGGAAGGTATTGCGTTACCATCTTTGGTGGAATTTAGTTTCATTTGAATGCTGAAGTTCACAGTCTCAACAATCTTAGAAAGGAAATATTTTGGTTAAATTTGAAGATGTTAAAATTATCGAAATTGTTAAGCTTTCTAATTATATCTTTAATCACAGAGTTAGTAAAACCTACCTGCTACCAAGAGAAACTAGGCAATATTTTTTCAATATTCGATATTCCAAAAATTTGTATCAACGCCATGAGAAATAAGAAAATGTGCCAAGACTTACTTAAGTAATGGTAATCCGTTACTCGAAAAAGAAATGAACAGTGTACGAAACGTGAGAAATAAGAAAAGTGCATATCAGAAAAATGACGGCTAGGTTGCAAAGTTCCACGATGATCAATAATAGACAAAAGCGAACATTTCAGGCTGGCAGTTCCGTTAGAGATTTAGTTTGAAGATGGCCATCGAATTTTCAAAAATCCTTCTAGGATATGAACTTGTTCGTTTTGTTTGGCATTAAATATTTGATTCTTTTCTTTATTTTAGAGTGTTAGGTTTAGTTAGGTTGATCGAATATGCAACCTTAATACATCAAATAACCTTTATTTCGTCTTTATTACTTTTTTGCACAGAAAATAATGCATGTGTAAAAAATATATGAATATGAGACCTTATACTTGCCACCAAAAGTTTGTGAGCAGGCAGGCAAGCAAATGCGACATGTTAAATGCATGTTTACACAGCATCAGTTTCTTACATAGAGTTCTGCTCATTTTTGGTGTACATGCTATTAATAATGTCTTCATAATGCTTCTCGATAAACTTCCGTCGAAGTTTAAATGCAGCAGTCACTAATCCAGATTCAGGTGTCCATTCATCTGGGCACAATTTAATTTTCTTTGGAATCTCGGCACCATGGAGATGACCTAGAGGAGAAGAAGCAAAAAGAAAACGTTTTCTCACTACTTATATTTTTATTCATAATGTTAATTATAAATTACTTTACTTTGAATTGTCACAAGTATTAAATCGCAAATTGCTTAGAATATGCATCGCTATATGTCAGTTATTAAAACTTTATAATTAAGTGAGACATCGCATAAGCATAGAATCTTTTTGTCATCCTATCTTAGATTAATCGCATACAAGGGACTTTACAAGAACATTATAAAGTATTTAAAAAATACTCTCGAACACGTGAGAAAGACACGTATACAGTACATATCATGTAATAAATCACATTTAAATCAGTCAGCTAAGAACAAATTGCGGGATTCTCACAAATAAGTAGAAGTTATTTTGTCCTGGTTGCCGGCTTTGTATATCTCAGTTGTAAGTACCTAGTCAAGGGAGGAAAGTCGCCATTTGGACAACCAGATGGAGCACACGCTATTATAATATATAGCTATAGGGCAATTCTACTGTCATGAGACAAACTTGGAGGTGTGGTTGAACGTACTAAAACATGTCGTTTTAACGAAATCGTGACTTGTCGATATGGCTCGTACTAAGCAGACTCCTCGTAGTGAAGCGGTTCCACCTGGTAAAGGCACGGATCCGGTCTCGGACAGCTCGAATACGACGGACACTGAAATGGACCAGGGCACTGATCATGTTCTCACCGATCAAGAAATCGCCACGTTACGACTGGAAATCCAGGAGCAAGAAGTGCGATTAGAGGCAATTAAAGAAAACTACGACTTACTCTCGGCCAGCAGACCCGTTACGGACCGACTACCATACGGATATGTTGAAAAGGAATATGGACAATAAGAAGAAACTGATTGAAAAGCTGAGGGGTAAGTTAAAATTTGCTCTTTCTCATGCAAGCTCCACACAAGCAATCACACAGCTCAAACGCAAACCACGTGACACTCCAGATAACGAAGATGACTCGGATGGCTTTCAGAAACCACTCAAGACTGCTTAAATACCCAAGAATATTCCATCAAACTCTGTTCCCACTCAGAACAGCTTTAACGCACTCTCTCAACCACCACAACCAATTAATAGCACACAAACACCAGACGCACGACTCACAAATTACAGCACACCTACACCAATTATGGTTAAGCCAACAGATGGCACCACACATAACCAATACATTAAAAAACTCACAACACTTACAGAAGCTACTTTTTATGGAAAAATAAGCGGAGAATACATTAAATTATTACCTTCCACAACAGACGATCACAGACAGCTCACCTTAGACTTACAAAAACATAACATTGAACACTACGTTATCACACCAAAACATAAAAGACCGGTTAAAGTAGTCATCAGAGGATTACCTATCACAACAAAACACAAGAAATATCCTCAGAACTCACACACTTAGGATACACAGTACACAAAGTCGTTCAATTCACAAGATTCAAAACCAAACAACCCATGCCACTATTCCAGGTACAACTTATGCAGACACACAACATAGACAAAATCTACAGTGAAACATACCTAGGTATGTTTATCATCACAGTTGAAAAATACATAAACAAAAATATAACACCTCAATGCCACAACTGCCAACGCTTCAACCACTCTTCAGACAACTGCTTCTTTTTACCTAGGTGTGTTAAATGCGCACAACACAAAACAACAGATTGCCCCACACAAGGTAAAATTGATAACCCCATTTGTGCAAATTGCTCCAAGAACCACCCAGCTTCTTATCGCGGTTGCGAAAAATTCCCCCAAAACACAATCAGAAACACCAACAGTTCACCAAACTACACTTTCACTCCAAAAAACACTACCTCACAAACACCTACATTTACACAAGGCAGAACATATGCATAAGTTACATCATACAACACCCAAGGCACCAGAAACCAGAACAACAACACCACACTCAGTACCAACACTTTCACAGACATATTTTCCACCTTAAAAGAAATAAACACCATTTTTGGCAGTAGTAATATATTTAAATTTTTTTACACTTCTCAAACGTAACATAGAACAACTCAGAACAGTCGACACACCAGTGGAAAAATTACTCATATTATTTAACATATGCGAAGAAGCAAATATCTTTAATTAATTGGACAAAAAAAAATTAAATAAATAAAAAAATTAAAAAAAAATAAAACTGAAAATATATTTCTAAGTACAAATACACTTTTAATTTCACACAAAAATACTGCTTGCATGAGGCCCCTCAGCTCTCTTACAGAAATGCACTTTATCAACCATTGGCTACTCCTCATCATGTGACCTGATGACTTTCTATCACATCCAGCCTTCTCTCCGCCCATCGACGCCGCCCACAACTTTGTTTCTCTCATCGCACAGATCTGCCTGACTCCTAGGAAATACTTTCCGGCTGCTTTTCCCCAAGTGCATGTATCACCGTCTCATCATCAATCTGCATTCATTGCCATATTTTTGCTTATTGACTCCGCCTGAACTCAAGTATGACTTCAACGTTCGAAAAGTGACTCAATTTCGACAGGGATAGAACTCTTCAGTCCAGGAGCCCTTTGAAAGGAACGAACTGTTCACGGATGATACTAAAACATGTACTTTTGTACAGAAATGTGGGGTCGAAAGTGACGTGTTAAAACGTGATGTGTGCTGCATTCCATTAGCAGTGTCATACATTAGATGCATGTCAGCCTTTTCAACTATATGTAAACTCACCCATCACACTCGAAATCAGATTTGCCGAATGACCTTTCTTCCCCTGATTCATCGGATCGCGGTTTGCCCGGCTCACTACTGCCCTCTACCCACTGCCCTGCCAGCGAATCACAGCTGTAGTTCGTACTACTGTTAGTGGTTACAATTCTGACCATTTGAAAATACTTATTCCTGTAAATAAGCACTTTGCTCTGATTTTGTAAATAAACACATATTTCCTCTTGTGTCATTTTTTGTTGTTCGTGCCTTAACACGTCACTTTAGACCCCACATTCCTATGCAAAAAGTACATGTTTTAGTACGCTCAATCACCCCTCCAAGTTTGATCGTACAATCACCCTGTATAAGGTTTATTTATTTTTCCTATATAGTTTTGTTTTGATTCAAACTTTCCAATTGATCTTAAACTACAAACTCCTTAATGTCCGGAAAATCACAACATAATGCAAAAAATAAGCAGTTACACTTTTGTTCATTAAAATTTCTGTATCATGAGGGAAGCACACCGGTCTGAATTTTACATGAAAGGTAGATAAAGCTAGGATGTGTAATAATTGGTGTTTCAAGACATGCTCCCATTACAGGCAGTAATGACACCGCAAAGTAGCATAAAAAGGAGATTGAAGTGCTGATGTTTGTTTCGGGAAATCACATTTACTTACTACATATTTGCAGCTCATGCAACTTGAAGAAGCTCATACCAGCACGTCCCAGCATTCAAACATATTTTGCAGGACTGCCCAATCACATCGCGCAATTTCCGCTCCTAAGGGTCAAGATAGTGTAACTTTTATAGGAATTTACAGTCAATGGGTCCAGAAGGGTTACACAGAGCGACGAGTGGTAACTTAAGGATACCTCATTCAACAATACCCTAGACCAGCGGTTCTCAACCTTTTGACTAACACGTACCATCTAAACAAAAACTGAAAAACCTGCAGTACCACCACTACAAAGTACTACTACCACCACCACTCTTGAACAAAGCTCAGATCGCGTAAATTTATGAGTGTTAGAGAAAAACCTCAATCAGGATGTTGGTGTTTTAGTTTCTGAATTTAGTAATTAAAAATGCTTTGCTTCTTTGCGTACCACCTATTTTTCTCTTGCGTACCACCAGTGGTAGCCTGCCACTGGTTAAGAACCCCTGCCCTAGACTACAGATAATTTGCCCGCATCGCTCTTATGAGTCCGCATTGCAGTGGCATCACGTACTCTAATTCCAAAGTCCGAGTGTGTTACGCTACGATACGCCTAGACATGAGTAACGTCGTCTTTTCTGTCGAATTCTGCTTTTACTTATAGTACGAATATTATGACGGCTGTATCCCGGTGTAAAGGCACTGAGGAGAATGAATGTGGTAAACTTGTATTCTTCACAGCCAGACTGTCTTAGACTAGACTGATGGTATAAGGTTGCCACTGGATGCACACCCCTTCACATCTAGTCCGAGTATAGGGTATTTTGTTCAGCCACGGTTAGAGTAATGATTTTATCTGTGTCATAACTTCGGATCCTCCATCACTTTACTCTTCAACAAGACAGTGCGAGAGTGCATGCTACCATTATGTGCTACCTTTATTCAATACATTGGATGTTCGATTCAATTCCTGTCTTTGTGGGCAAGTAGATCTTTCACAAATTTAAAACGGCTGGTAAATGGTTTCAGGGAGAATGGTACGGCATCAACCAAAAGTTTGTGCAAGTAATGAACTCTGGCTTAGATCCCCTTAATTACCATCCGAAGGTTGGTCGTGGAGTCGAATAGACTTTTGATTCTGAACAATTTATGGAAATTAAGGGACTAAAACACTAGTAATTGCGATTCCAAATTTCTTCTTTCCATGTTTTTTCGACTGTTTCTCCAATCGTACAACAACTGCTATATCTGACAGTGAAAAATGCTCGGCTATGCAGCCAAACAGACTTTGATTGCAGTTAAGGAAACTAACTGCAATACCCTAACTGTGATCCAAAGTTATTTCGATCCCTTGCCCAGCCGTACGACAGCTGCTGCTATTTTTGACAGTGGCGGATACTTCCAGACATGTTCAAGCCACAACAGACGAAGGCGTGAATATATAAAGTATTAACATTGGCTGTCCGCAAGCGTCATGTTTTGGACAATTTCTTTGGAATCTCGTAGCTGTTTCTGCCGTCGGATTCTTCAACGACAACAACGGCATCGAAATACTTGCTTATGGCGGACGACTTCTGATTGTTAGCCAGAGATCATAACAGACGAAAATAGGAAACGGTGTGCCCAATATGTACAGCGCA